ATTCCCCAGCCAGCAAGGCTGGCTGGAGAATTCTGGGAGTTGAAGTCCACCCGTCTTAAAGCTGCCAAGGTTGAGAAACACTGCTTTAGTGTTACTGGATTAATCAGCCAATGTCTAAGGGCAGGACGAGACCAACTTTCCCACAATCGGCCAGTGAGCTTCCATGCTGAAACTGGACTTGAACCCAGGCCCCCAATGCCAGTCCAACACGGCATTCAGCCTTCCTACCTGGGGATACATTTCTACAGATTTCTATCTCCGTCTCTCTTCCTGTTTTGGCCCCAAACAACAGCCCTGTGAGGTAGGTTGGGCCAAGAGGGAGGGACTGGCTCGAAGTCCCTAGGGAGCTTCTGCCTCCCTGGTTCAAATGCAACAACGTCCTTGGGAGGTAGGCTGGCCAGGATGGGAATGGCTCAAAGTCCCCCAGGGGGCTTCTACTGGAGAGGGGGGACTTGAACCCACATCTCCCTGCCCCTAGACTAGGACCTTCATTCCACTGGGCGCCTTTTGGCAGAAGAGGCTGCAAATGCCACGGGAGAGGGGTGCAGTGGGTGGGGCCACGATACAAAGTGGGTGGGGCCTGGCGAGAGACCAGATTTCCTTTGTTCTTGCTTTTGGGTGGAGGAGGTCTCTTCCCATCGAGCATTTGCCTTTGGGAAATATTTTTTTTATTGCATTTAAATCTGGGGCAGGTTATCTTGCTGAGGAATGAGGGCTTTGGTCATTTCGTGAGAGGGCCTACAACCGTGTTTCTCAACCTCCAACAATTCAAAATGCATGGACTTCAACTCCCAGAATTCCCCAGCCAGCATGGCTGGGAACTCTGGGAGTCGCCCCCTGCCCCCTGCGACTGTCCGCAAGGTTTGGGAAGCTGGCTGGCCAAAGGCGACGGGGGTCCTTGGGTGCCCCCTGCTGGACAAAAGGGGCAGCTGAAGGAACCCTCTGGGGGGGCTGTCCCAACCCCAAAAACAGTTGCACTGAACTTTGGGACAAATGCTCCTTCCTTCAGCAGCCACAAGATTGGAAAGATTTCACTAACATCACTATCCCAGGTGTGCACAGATGCCTTGCTCACAGCTGGGTTGGTGAATTTCTTCCTGCTGTCTGACTCACTGTTTCTCAACCTTGGCAACTTTAAGATGTGTGGACTTCAACTCCCAGAATTCTGGGAATT